CTCTTGTAATTTATTATATTTGTTATAATAATAATATTGTGATAAATATAATAAATTTATATATTTAATATATATTAAATATATAAATTTATTATATTTATTTTATATATTTTATATATATAATATATATATAATACATTTTTATATATTGTGATAAATATAATAAATACTTACTGTAATAAATACGTTATCTGACATAACACAGAGGGTAACCTTTTATCCCAGCCAGATTGATGTGGCCTAAGGCACTGCTTTAGCAAACCACTGGCCCAGAATCTCTTGGTCCAGGGGCACAGAGTCTTTTGTTATTTCTGCCCTGTGAAGGCCGTGCCAGGTCTGGGTGATTTTGTTCAGGTCTCAGCTGGCCCTGGGGGCACTGTGAGAATGCCTTGACACATCTTCCTGGTCAGTGCCAGCCCCTGCTTTGCGCTCCCAAAAATGGGAGTTTTTTGTGCAGTGTGCCCTCATTTGAGTGTAACCACTCACCCAGTCCATACCAGTGCCGAGGAGCCTCCTGTGGATCAGGTTTGCTGATTTTTGGCAGCTGGTCACCTTGTTGTCTGTAAAGTTTGGTCACTGGCTGAGCTCTGACCCATCCTGCGTGGATTTGTCCGTGGCACTGAGCCTGTAACAACAACCACTTCCCACCTTCCTTCTGCCAAGCCTCCTTTGCTGTGGGAATCAGAAAGACAGAAATCCTCACAAACACACCAGAGTTGATTCACAGCCTTAGGAGAAGCCTAAATTGATGTGAAAGCAAGGTACACAGACACTGAACAGAGAAATCATAAACTTATGTTTCTGTAAGTTATATATATCTATAACTTTATATAAGCTACGTTTCTATAGTTATGAGTATGTTTCTATAATTATAAGTATGTTTCTATAGTTATAAGTAAGAATAGGCCTTTAGTAAGTAAGAAACTCATTAGATATTAACATGTTAGATAAGATATTGACATATTAGATAAGATAATGAAGTGTTTTATAGTACAGTAATGTAGTAATGTGATTGTAATAGAATAAAGAGTTTAGATATTAAAATAGAGACATGTGTACATGTAATCAGACCTTATTGGGCAAAAGTATCCACATTGCAATAGAAAGAGGTGAAAGTGGCAGGTTAGAAAAGCAAAACATGCTCTGTGGAGCTGTCCTTTGGATTAGAAAGTGACACACTGTCCTACAAGCAAGAACTTGTGACCATCCTAGACTGTAACCAACTGCTTGTGTCTGATAAATCTCATGGCCTTTGAGATTGGTGTTATCTAAGCAATAAATCATTATTAGTCTGATCTTAGTCCCTTCCCTTTAATTAATAATACAACAGCCACATTTTCCCTTCATTGCCAGTCCAGGGCCTCCCACTGCCACAACCACTGTGGCACCAGCCCAGGGTGTGTAAGAATCCACTTAATAACAAATAAATAGATAAACAAATGAATAGATTGTGACTAAATAAATAGATTGTCTTTGTTTCCTCCTTTGCTGCCAGCAGTATACAGCCTTTAACTCTGCACTTGTGCACTTCTGGTTCCTTCTCCCACTGCTCCCACTGCTGTGTGAGTGCTCAGAGCAGCTGCTCTGCACCTCCCCTGCCCACCCGTGTGTTTGGCTGAGCCTCAGGGTGTGAAGTGAGTGCAGGAGCAGGCAGGAGAGGATCAGATCTGTGGCTGTTGTCAGGCTGAGCTGTCTGGTGTCCCAGCTGTGTGGTTCTCTAGGGGTTTAGGCCCTGCAGTGCCATCCCTTTGATCTGTGACACCCCTGAGACACCCCCCTTTGTGCACTGTCACTGTGCAATTCCCTCTGGAAGGGAATCGTCGTCATCATCATCATCATCATCATCATCATCATCATCATCATCATCACTGCCCTTCTTACCAGTGGCCCACAGACTGCAAGGTCCTTGGCTCTTCACACATTGATGCTGTTGAATTTATTTTTACTTGTTCAGGACCTCAGGTCAGGGACAATAATCCCTTTTCCCAGGCAATATTTCTCTTTTCAGTACCTTTAAATGCTGTGGAACTGAACCCTAGTGGTTGTCTGGGTCCTTGTGGCCCTTTCTGGAACATACCACAGTGAGTCCCCTGTTGGCAAAATCCCATTCAGCTGTTACAGGATCACTGGGATGAGCTGGCCCCAGTGATTGATGTTTTTAACTCCTCTGTCAGTGTTTGCAAAGCCTGTTTGTGGCTGTCAAGCCATTCCCAGATTTGGATTTTCCTCATTAATGTGGACAAGGGTCTTGCTATTATAGAAAATCCAGGAATATGATTTCTGCAGTATCCCAAAGTACCTTTTGAGGCTCCTTTTCAGTAGTGGGGCTAGATACAGCATCTAATTTTGTTTCATGTGGAATTACAGCTTGCTGCTACCCCCAGGTTCCCAGGAATTCCATCTCTTTAGAGGGGCCTGGGCTCTTAGCTGAGGGCACTTCTGTCCCCTCCCCATTTCATCTGTTCTGGATATCCTGTGCTGTTGTTCTTACTGCACTTTCCTCCTCACCTCCTGCCAATTTATGGGTAAATCTGTTCTCCTGCCTGATTTGTTGGGGTTCAGCTGGAGCATTGTGTGCTATGCTGGGTGAGTGCAGAAATCCCTGAGGTAGGCAGTTGAAGCTGGGTTGTTCCTTCCCCAGTCAAGCAGATCTGGGTTTATCTTCTTCCTGGACTGGAACCATCAAAATCATCTTTTCCATGCCAGGCTGCCTCCCCTTTGTGTGCTGCAGTGCCTGCAGAGGAGCAGTGAGCTTTGCAGGATTTGGGCCTGCTGCAGGGAGTGCCTCTGTGTCAGCATCAGGCCTTTGATAATCAACTGCTGAATGCCAGCTCCTGTCTTCCTTCATCACCTGTCAAACAGGGGAATTGTGAATACATCCTACGCATAATGGCCCTTTGTTCTAAATCTTTAATTACTTCATTTTTCCCTTGTTTGGCTGCAGGAGGCACAGGGTGCTGTTTAATGTTAGAAACAGGTAAATCTGGAGCCCTTTTTAAGAGTCTGATTTTCTTACCCTTCTCAGAAAGGTTACTCTGGGGTTTTTTGGGTCCAAAGGGCCAAAGATCCCTGGTTGGTAATAGCAAAGCTTTCCTTTAAGAATGTCATATCCTACAACGTTTTCTTCATGACCTGCCATCACAAATGTGTGTGAAGTCTTTCCCTTCTCCCCAGGTAACCATAAACACACTTTGGTGGTGTAACAGAGAATACTTTTCCTATTAAAGCCAGTTAAATGAACTTCTCTATTTTTAAAACCTAAGTTTAGCTTTTTAGCATCCATGGGAGTAATTAAAGAGGTCTGAGCTCCAGTGTCAGTTAAAAATGTCAAAGGCTGTCCTTTAACAGGGAAATGTACAGAAGGTTTCTGATTGGGGGAGTGCTGTGGGGTGTCTGTCAGTCAGAAGTGCAGCTCCTGTCCCAGTGGGAGAGCAGGGAGGTGGTTTTGGGCAGCTGGGAGGTGCCAGAGCAGTGCTAACCCTGTGGGGCCAATGACTCCTGTGAGACACTGCTCCTGTCTGATCACTGAGCAGTGCCAGGCAGCAGAGCAGCTCCTGCTGGGGTGACAGGGACACGGCCTCTTACACTGGGCTGGCCCCACAGCTGCTCTGGCACTGGCCCTTCTGTCTGGCCTTGAGAAGCCAGGAGTCTGCTAAGGCAGGCAGGAGCCTCCCCTGGAATGGAAATGTCAAACCCCTCCCTCTGAATTGTTAGAATTTTGAAATTAAAAGGCTCTCAGGCAAAGATATGGGAATAGGAATAACAGTTCTTTGCTAGAAGACTAAAAATAAAAATGTAACCCAAGAAAAAACAACAGAAACAAAACAAAACAAAAAACACAAACAAACAAACAACAACAACAAAAAAAACCACCAAAAAACCACCAACAAAAAAAAACCAACCCCAAAAAAACCCCCAAAAACCCACTGCCAGAGTGAGAGCAGTCCCTGTCCCCTGTGTGTCAGGGGGTGGCACAGCCCCATCCCATGGGGGCTCAGCCCTCCTGCAGTGCCAGCTGTGGCTCTGCTGGAGCAGGGATCCTGCACAAGGGGGGAGTTTTCCTCTGCAGCTCCAGGGCTGCTGCAGATGGGCCTGGGCTCCCTCTGGCAATGCAGGGCAGCAGAAGCTGCTCCTCTGGCAATGCCCTGGGCAAAGGCTGCTGGGCTGTGCCAGGCTCAGATTGGATCCAGGGAGGAATGCTTGGCTCCTCCCCTGGGCAATGCAGCATCTCCCCATGGGATGCTGGGATTGGATCAGCCCTGCAGGGACACTCAGTGGCCATGGACAGCAGAGATCTCCGGCAGGGAGGATTGGCTGGGGCAGAGATCAAGAAAACCACCCAATGGGCAGAGGATAACTGCCCCACCTTTAACAGATTCCAATGGAATACACACACATATCTGACAACCCAGAACACTTCCCACCAGTTCACACCCAGCCTGGGTCTTGCTTGAATTAGTGGTTGCTAAGGATGATGCCAAACACACCAGTTTCCAGTTCACACCAGTTCCACCTGTGTGCAGCTCTGAACCTCTCAGGAAATGCCCCTTTCCCCACAGTGCAGAGGAAGTGGGGAAACACCCCCAGGTGCAGATATTGAACCCTGGGTGCATTTTAGAGCACCTCAAAGGATGCCCTTCAGGAAGGCTGACCAGGACTCCTGTAAAACACCCACTGCATGTGTGGAGAGAGGTGCAGAGAGGGGTTTGAGGTCAGGAAGAAGTCCAGAGAGAGTTTCTCTGTCAGGTGGAAGTGTCCTAAATGTAAAAGCGAAAGTGTGGTACCAGAGCTGGGTGAGGAGTGAGAGCTGTGGGGCCAGGCAGCCCCAGGAAGGCTGATGGAGTTCTGGAGCCTGTTCACAGTTGCAGGGAGCCCCAGCTCCTGCTCTCAGCTGTGAGGAGGCAGAGCAGCCACACCTGGTGCAGGTCCCTGGGACGCTCCTCTCCAAACGCTCGGCCTTTGCCTGCGTGGGGTCCCCCAGCACTGTGTTTGCCTTGCAGCTCCGGGGTCAGGAGCCTGGAGGAGGTTTGCCTGCAGGTGACAGACCTGCTGCCCGGCCTCAGGAAGCTGAGGAATCTGCTCCCAGAGCACGGCTGCCTGCTGCTGTCCCCAGGGAACTTCTGGCAGAACGACCGCGAGCGCTTCAATGCCGACCCAGATATCATCAAAACCATCCACCAGCATGAGCCAAAGACCTTGCAGACGTCAGCCACTCTCAAAGGTGAGCCAGGGAAGCTGAGAGTTGCCTACAGCTTCATTGTTATTCCATCCTCACTAATTCCAGCACTGGAATTGCTGATGGTGCCAATTTGGGCAGTATTTTTTCATTCACAGCAGCCGAAGCTGCCCGATCTTTGTTGTCTCTCATTTCATATGTGGGGCCCTGATCTGTATTTGTGAGAAGTGAACAAATCACTCAGTCAGGCTTCTTTCTGCAGGTAAAAATAGCAGGGTTTTGTTCCTCTCACTCTACACATGCTCCAGCCTGGCTTTTCCCTCTGTCACACTCCAAGGCTGCCTCATTGTCACAGATAAATCAACATTCATCCTGCTCCATTGTGTGTTCCAATTCCTTGCACACAGCCCCAGCTGAGAATGGATATCATAAAACTATTTTTATCTCTTAGTTATAAAGAAACTCTGTGACCATGTGTGGGGTTGTTAATGGTTCCATAATGCCAGAGGAAATGCTGCTTTAAACACAGGTTGGATCCTTTGGTTTTAAAGGAACCTCAGAGATGTGGCAGTGTGTGATGTAGTGTGTTATATGTCTGAAAAGGGGTTTGTTACCCTAAAGGAAGTTTGCTTTAAAGGCTGTTTTTAAGCACCCAGAGTGTTGATTTATTAAAAAAAATATGGATATTGATCTAGTACCGATATCCAACTGTGATGGACAAAGACTCTCTAACAGTTTAAAGTTAGAAAGTGTTTGTTTATTGTGATAACTCCCAAATACACACTGCAATTTACAGGTGATCACAGAGCTCTTTTATCATACAAGTATTGAATACCCAAAATACAAATGCATATTCATGACTTTGGTACATCCTATTCCCTGCTTTGTATGGTAATTAGTTAAAAAGCTATTAAGCATGGTAATTAGTTCAAAAGCTATTAAGCATGCACAGTTTGTTCCTTGAAATGGGGAGGAGTCCCAAAATGAGGAAGTAAATGAAGTCTTCCTCGTTCTGACCTTTCTGCCTTTTCAATGCAAATATGACAAGTGAACCCTTGGTAGAGCTCCCATTCCCCATCTTCAATTGGTTTCAGAACAGAGGAGGCCACAATTGTGTAATGTTCCCAAAAGTTATTTATCAATTTCTATATTCTTCATTATAAACCCAGCTAACCAAACAGTGTGCTGACAATCAATCAGTTATTAGTTAACTACTAACTCTTAAGTCATCAAGGCCTACACATTTATTTTAATTACCTCCAATAAAGCTTATCCCCGACTAAAATCTTAGCTCCTCTAAAATCTCTGAATTCCTTAAAGTTTATGTGTCAGTGTGAGCTCGCTGTGGTTGGAGCCTGCTCCAGGTGTGTCCCATCCATGGGCTCTCCCCGGAGCCTGGGATACCCCACAGGATGAGAGCAGCCATTCCCGCTGGGGCTGCTGGCAGGGGACAGCTGTGCCCCCTGTGCAGTGTGTGAGCTGTGTCCCTGTGTCCCCCTGTCCCTGCAGACCTGCTCTTCGGGCTGCCTGGCAGGTACAGCGGGGTCAGCCTGTCCAACCGGCGCCGCGTGGTGTCCTACACCGTCACCCTGGGGCTGCAGCGCTACGACTCCAGGTGAGGCCTGCTCCGCCACCCAGCTCTGCTGCTTCCCCTCCCTGATGGTTCCTCTGCCCTCCACTTCCTTCTGGCTTAGAGTGTCTCACATCTCTGAAGGTGCTTTTCTGGGAGAAAACTTGCTGTGTTTTATGGAAATAAAATACCCTCAGTTCTCAGCTGCCCTTCACAAGCAGGGCCTGTAGCATGCAGAACTGCCAGGGGGAGTTCCTGTGGCATCCAGGGCCCAGTGGCTCTGGTTTGACCCAGTTCCTTGTGCACAGGCTGCTTGGCTTTCCAGTAAGCACTGCTGGAAACACTGTGGCAGTGTTGGCCAAACTGGCATGGATTGAGTGGATGTGAGGATGTCAGGTTTCCCTCTGGCAGAGAAGCTTTGAGGTGAAGGAAAGGAGTCGGTTCTGATGGAGGCTTTGGATCCAGAGCTTTATTCTGGCCCACAGGCCTCTGCATGCAGCACCAGCTCCAACAGAACTCCCTGACCCCATGGTTGCTGTTCCTTTAACCCCAGGGAGAGGGGCAGGGAAGGGGCAGGGAGCCACCAAGCAGGTACAGGAGGGGAGGGACAAAGGACAGCTGAACGGCCCAGTGCCCCCCAGGGGTAGAGGGCATCCTTTGGATCTGCCAATCCCTTCTGGAATTGCAGGGCTGACAGACAGTGCTGGGAGGGGAAGGAGAGGTGACTGACACACCTGGGAGGGAATCCTCAGGGCAGGGACCCGGGTTCTGGGGTAAACCCTGAGCTCACAGCACAGCACTGCTGTCCCCAGGTTCCTGAGCAGCCTGCGCTCGCGGCTGAAGCTGCTGCACCCCAGCCCCAACTGCAGCCTGCGGGAGGAGAGCGTGGTGCACGTGCACTTCAAGGAGGAGATCGGCATCGCCGAGCTCATCCCGCTCGTCACCACCTACATCATCCTCTTCGCCTACATCTACTTCTCCACACGTAGGTTTGGGGGCACCTGGGTGTGGGCTCAGGGGGCAGGTGATACCTGTATAACATCACCTGTTTCAGCAGGAGAGGTGGTGGTGGAGTTCTGCCCTGAGCTGTCATGGAGAGGGTTAAAACTCTTTGCCTGATTCTTGCTCGTTTGCCCCTCTCAGCCAGGGTGCTGTTATTCCTTGTGATCCACCTCCCAGCTGGAGGTGTTTCCCCATCCCTGGAAGTGTCCAAGGCCTGGATAGACTTCTTTAAAGTCCCTTCCAACCCAAACTATTCCATGATTCTTTGATACCTTCCCAGGTATTTTCTGTCTTGGGCACCCTTAGATGCCACAGCAATGCCTTTTTTCCCAGTTTGTTTCATCCATTATCAGACACGTGTTCTGAGCTGGTGGGTTTAGGCCTCTCTGGCCACATTTCAGTTTGGTTCTGCCCACCTCAGTGCAGTGCTGGAACTGGTGTGAGCTGTGAAGCAGCATTTTCCCCTGTCCCCCCTTGTCCTGTGGGAGCTGCATTTCAGACTTTTTCTGGATCTCTGCCCAGAAAACAGCCACGTTCCCAGTTCCCCAAGCTAGCTGGGCACATCTAGATTGCTGGCATATAAATGACAGAAAACATGGATTCTGCCTTCTCTGAAGCAAGTTTTTCTCAAAATATTACTTCCGTTAAAAATTCACCTTTTGGCTTCTTCATTCTGATCCAAAAAAACCAAAAATGTGTCAAATTTTAAAATTTCTACATTTCAGACACTGCAGTACCTTCATTTCAGACATGAGCACTGCAGTACCTGCATTTCAGACACAGCAGTACCTGCATTTCAGACACTGCAGTACCTTCCCTCTGGGCTGGGGTGTCCTGTGACCTGCTGGGGCCGGCCAGGACAAGCGTGCTGTCCCCATTTGTGTGTCCATCTGTCCCCGTCTGTGTGTCCTTGCTGTGTGCTGTCCCTGCTGACCTGGCTGGGCTGTTTTGCAGGCAAGATCGACATGGTGAAGTCCAAGTGGGGCCTGGCTCTGGCAGCAGTGGTGACGGTGCTCAGCTCCCTGCTCATGTCCGTGGGGCTCTGCACCCTGTTTGGCCTCACACCCACGCTCAACGGCGGGTACGTGCCAGCCCTGCCAGGGGCACACCTGGGGAACACCTGGGGAATCAATTCAGCGTGCTGGAACCAGCTCCTGTGGGGCTGGACATGCTGCTGGGCACAGTCACTGTCGTATTGGCATAGTTACTAATAGAGCTGGACAGAACGTGCCTTGGCTTGTCTGGCCCTTGCTGCTGAGCCCCTCCTCAGCTGTGCCTCTGTTTCCCCAGAGAGATATTCCCATACCTGGTGGTGGTGATTGGCCTGGAGAATGTGCTGGTGCTCACCAAGTCCGTCGTGTCCACGCCCGTGGACCTGGAGGTGAAGCTGCGCATTGCCCAAGGTGGGGTCCTGCCCTGGGGCTGGGAGAGGGAAAAGTGGGAGAGCCAGGGGCTGGGAGAGGGAAAACTGGGAGAGCCAGGGGCTGGGAGAGGGAAAACTGGGAGAGCCAGGGACTGGGAATGGTCTCACTCAGGTCTGGGAAGGAAACAAGGTGACTTGTACAGCCTTTTGTAGTGAATTCCAGAAACATAATGCTGCTGTTGTGGGCACTGCTTTTTGGGATTGTTGACTGAAACAGGGTAAATAAATACAAAAAATATTGGTAGGGGAGAGCTGGATCTCCTGGTGTGGATACTGAGCATTCCTGCTCAGGAATCAACACAGCAATCCTGTCCTCAGGTCACGGATATCAGAAGTACAGAACACAGGTCCTACAAAATTCCCTAGGTCCTACAAAAATGTGTGATAAAATTATCTTTTCCATTCTATGAATGCTCTGTGCCTATGGAAGAATTTGAGTGTGCTCAAACCATGGATAAATGGGATTTGCAGTCTTCAAAGCTGTTTTTAAATATCAGGGAGAAGAGATTCTAGAGCCATGCTGATTTTAGTTTTAAAAATACAAGTGGTTTGGATCCTAGATGGGAAACAGGACTCAGAACTCCAGTGGGCCTTTGCACTCAGGAGTTTTAGCCTGGAAGGGCCTTTTGAAAGGCCTGTTCCCTGTAAATTCCTGGCTTTCCAGAGGGGAAGTGCTGCTCCTTTGGCTGTGTTCATGTCTGGCACAGTGAAGAGGATCCCCTGACCTGTCCCTGCCCTTCCCCAGGCCTGAGCAATGAGAGCTGGTCCATCATGAAGAACATGGCCACGGAGCTGGGGATCATCCTCATCGGGTACTTCACCCTGGTCCCGGCCATCCAGGTGAGAGGGGCTGCCAGGACAGAGCCTGACCACTGCAGGGAGCCACTGGCAGCAGGCTCACACAGTCAGGGAGTTGGCTGGGCTGGAAAAGCCTTGGACACCATCAAATCCAACTGTTCCCAGCACTGCCAAGGCCACCACTCACCCATGTCCCCCAGTGCCACAGCCACACCGCTGTAAAATCCCTCCAGGCACGGGGACCGCACCCCTGCCCTGGGCAGTTCCAATGCCTAACAGCCCCTTTTGGGGAAGACATTTTCTCTAATTTCTAATTACATCTCCCCTGGCACAACCTGAGGCCCTTTCCTCTCATCCTGTCCCTTGTTCCTGGGAGCAGAGATGGATTGTGGCCAAAAAGAGCAAAGAACGTGAATTAGAATAAATGCCTTGGGTTCTCACACGGACGCCCCCAGCCCTGAGCTCTGAGCCAGCACAAGAGGTGGATCCCAGGGTTGTCAGTGAAGCACTGCTGGCTTCCCCCCTCCTGAGTGCAGGGGGAGCTCATGCCTGTCTCACCCACAGGAGTTCTGCCTCTTTGCCGTGGTGGGGCTGGTGTCAGACTTCTTCCTGCAGATGTTCTTCTTCACCACCGTGCTGTCCATCGACATCCGCCGCATGGAGGTGGGCAAGGGGCACAGCCTGGGGCAGGAGGGGGGCACAGCCTGGGGCAGGAGGGGGGCACAGCCTGGGACAGGAGGGGGCACAGCCTGGGAGAGGAGGGGAGCACGGCCTGGGACAGGAGGGGGGCACAGCCTGGGAGAGGAGGGGGGCACGGCCTGGGACAGGAGGGGGCACAGCCTGGGGCAGGAGGGGAGCACGGCCTGGGGCAGGAGGGGGGCACGGCCTGGGGCAGGAGGGGGGCACGGCCTGGGGCAGGAGGGGGGCACGGCCTGGGGCAGGAGGGGGCACAGCCTGGGAGAGGAGGGAAGCACAGCCTGGGGCAGGAGGGGGGCACGGCCTGGGAGAGGAGGGGGGCACGGCCTGGGACAGGAGGGGGGCACGGCCTGGGACAGGAGGGGGGCACGGCCTGGGGTAGGAATGGGGAGGCACAGCCTGGGGCAGGAGGGGGGCACAGCCCCAGCATCCCACCCCTGAAAGGGGGAAAGGACAGAATCATAAACTCACTGAGCTCAGAAAGGCCTTTCAGCACTCCCCAGCACCACCACTGTCCCTGTCCCCAAGTGCCACATCCTCCTGGCTGTTAAATCCCCCCAGGGATGGGGACTCCACCCCTGTTCTGGGCAGCTGGGCCAGGGCTGGGCAGCCCATTCCAGGAAGAAACTATTCCTAAGTTTAGGTTAAACTTCCCCACATCAGCTTGAGGCTGTTTCATCCTGAGCTGTTACAGTCCTGGTTCTGTACTTGCTTGGTTACTCACACAGGGATTGGGAACAGAGCACTTGAGGGAAAAGACACTCTTAGGAAGGACATGGAGCTGTGGGAGCAAATCCAGAGGGGGCATTGAGTGGATCAGAGGGATGAAGCAGCTCTGCTGTGAGGAAGGGCTGAGAGAATCGGGATTACACAGCCTGGGGAAGGAAAGCTTAGAGACCTACTTGTGGCCTTCCAGGACCTGAAAGGAGCCACAAGAAAGATTGGGAGAGTTGCTGGACAGGTTAAGGGGGAATGTCTTCAAACTGACAGAGAGAAGGTTTACATTGGACATTAGGAAGAGCTTTGTAAGGGAGGGTGGGCAGGCGCTGGCACTGGTGCCCAGAGCAGCTGTGGCTGCCCCTGAATCCCTGCCAGTGCCCAGGGCCAGGCTGGACAGGGCTTGGAGCACCCTGGGATAGTGGGGGTGTCCCTGCCATGGCAGGGGTGGCACTGGATGGGCGTTAGGGTCCCTTCCAACCCAACCATTCCGTGATTCCCTGGGTCTGGAAATGTGCTGGTTGGGGTAAATGGGCTGGGAGGAGACACCAAGGAGTCACCCCCTGACCCTGGGGGGACAATCCCTGCCCAGGGGTCTCTCCCAGCTCTCCAGGGTCCCCTTTGCCCTGGAGCAGCCCCTCACCCCTGTCCTTTCTGTGTCTGTTGCAGCTGGCTGACCTGAACAAGCGTTTGCCCCCCGAGTCGTGCCCGGCGAGGCCCCCATGCCGTGCGCGGCCGCTGCGCCCGGCGGTGCCACACACCCCACACACCATGGCCCCACACAGCATCACCCCACACAGCCCCCACCCCATCACCCCACACCCCATCACCCCACACACCATCACCCTGCAGCCGTCCTCGCTGCGCAACCTGCGCCTGCCCAAGCGCCTGCGCGTCATCTACTTCTTCGCCCGCACCCGCCTGGCTCAGCGCCTCATCATGGTACGTGGGGGCACACACACTGCCTGGGGGGAACACACACTGCCAGGGGGCACACACACTGCCTGGGGGGAACACACACTGCCAGGGGGCACACACACTGCCTGGGGGGAACACACACTGCCAGGGGGCACACAGATGGTTGGGATGGCACCCAGACTGCCAAGGGGGCACACAGAGAGCTGGGCTGGCACCCAGAGAGCCAGGGTGGCAACCAAATAGCCAGGGGGCACCCAAATAGCCAGAGGGGCACCCAGACCACGGGGCTGGCACCCCTGTCTGCCCCACTGGGCACCCAGACTGCCAGGATGACACCCAGATAGCTGGGATGGCACCCAGAGAGCCAGGGTGGCAGCCAGACCACCAAGATGGACCCACAACAGCCAGGCTGCAGCCCTGCGCACCCCACTGGGCACCCAGCTCTGCCAAGCTGGCAGCCCTGCCCACCCTGCCAGCCACCCACTCCCACCAGGCCTGACAGCTCCATGTCCTGCTTGCCATGGGATCCAGGAGTCCAATCCCCACATGGTCCCAGAGCAGTGGGTCCTGCAGGAGTGTGGAGCCAAAAACCCAAACTGAGCCTTTCCAGCCCTGCCTGGAGGTGCCAGACTGGCTGGTCCCAGCTGCCAGCACGGAGCCCCTTCCTGCTGTGTGTCTGGGGAGAGAAGGTGGGCTCTGAGCATCATGTGGGTCATGAAAAAGTGGTGCCCAGGTTCTGGGTGTGCAGGGCAGTGCTCCAAATGTCCCCCCTGTGCCACCTCCCTGTCCCCAAGAAACAGTGCTGGGGGCGAGGCTGCAGGAAATGAGGGCTACCTGTGGGTTGGGGTGCCGTGGGTCAGCTTGGGCAGGGGACAGGGAGGTGGCACTGAAGGGCAGGGGGACAGGGAGGTGGCACTGAGGGAGCTGTGTCTCTGCTCAAGCAGGGGACAGGGCGGTGGCACTGAAGGGCAGTGGCACTGAGGGCGCTGTGTCCCTGCACAGGCAGGGGACAGTGCAGTGCCACTGAGGGCGCTGTGTCCCTGCTCAGTCAGGGGACAATGCAGTGCCACTGAGGGCGCTGTGGTCTCTCTCCCTGCTCAATCAGGGGACAATGCAGTGACACTGAGGGCGCTGTGGTGTCTCTCCCTGCTCAGTCAGGGGACAATGCAGTGCCACTGAGGGCGCTGTCTCTCCCTGCTCAGGCCGGCACAGTGATCTGGATTGGAATCCTGCTGTACACGGATCCCGCCGGGCTCCGCACCTACCTCACGTCCCAGGTCACCGAGCAGAGTCCCCTGGGGGACACAGGCCTGCCTGCCATGCCCGTTCCCGGCGGGGTCCTGCCCGCCGGGGACCCCAAGCTGGACCTGTCCGTGTTCCCCTCGGAGCCCGCGCAGCTGTCGGAGAACCGGACGGAGCAGAAGGCGCGGCTGGAGCCGGAGCAGCAGCCCTGGGGCCCCGAGGGCAGGGGCAACGGGCAGCTGGAGCTGGGGACAGAGGCACAGGTTACCTGGGGAGCAGAGGACGAGGAGATCTGGAGGAAGCTTTCCTTCAGGCACTGGCCTGCCCTCTTCAGCTACTACAACATCACCCTGGCCAAGAGGCAAGTGAAGTGGGCTGGCATGGAGTGCCACTGGCACGGGGATCTGGGAGCTGACCCCAAGGGTTTGCCTTGCTTCTGTCCTTGGTGCTCCCAGCTCACATGACCTGCTTCCATGGGGCTCATTCCAGGTGTGTGTGGGAGGGGCTGCTGAGCAGGGCCCCTGGGGTGGGCAGAGCTCACAAACCCTCCAGGGCTGTTCCTCTGGGAATCAGGGTGGTTCCACTCTGCTCCTGGGTGGTTTATGTGCGTGGTGTCTTCCGTCTTCCTTCATCCTGGAATTGAAGTTTTAAAATGTGTAAAACAAGAAAAGGGGGCTCAGGGGGGCCCTTGGGGCTCTGCACAAGTCCCTGACAGGAGGGGACAGCCAGGGAGGTTGGGCTCTGCTCCCAGGGAACAGGAGGACAGGGAACGGCCTCAGGGGTTTCCAGGGGAGGGTCAGGGTGGATATTGGGAAGAGTCCTTCCCCAAAAGGGTTCTGTGGCTCTGGCACAGCTGCCCAGGGCAGTAGTGGAGTTCCCATCCCTGGAGGGATTTAAAAACCCTGTGGATGTGGGGTTTGGGGACATGGGTTAGTGGTGGCCTTGGCAGTGCTGGGGGAGCAGTCAGACCTGATGGTGTCAGAGGGCTTTTGCAACCTCAGTAATTCCACAATTGTCTGATACAACCATCTGTAAGGGATGGAAATTGTACATGTGAGGAAGAGACAGCTGAGCTGAAGGAGCTTCTTGGTGAGACTTCCCAGCCTGCAGCACACAGGAAACCAGGCTTAAATTCGTGGGATCCACTTGATCTCCTCAGGACTTCATTTCTGTTGGCTCTTTGAAGGGTTAAAACCCGGGGGAATAGCTTTAGAGGAGAATATTTCCGAGGAGATCTTTAGTTCCGAGCACCTGCAGTCACACACTGAAAGCACTCTGACTCCTGCCGTGGCTGCCCGTCCCCTCGTGCCCCTCCTGAGCCTTGTCCCCGTCCCCTCAGGTACATCAGCATCCTGCCGGCCATCCCCGTGACGCTGTACCTGCACCCCCAGGAGGCGCTGGAGATGCGGCACCCGCAGGAGGCCCGGCGCTCCCAGCCCTTCCTGGACACGGCCCCGCGGCCGGAGCGCGGCTCGCAGCCCCGCGGCCACCAGGACGTCACCCTCTACAAGTACAGTGTCTGTCACAGCCTGCCTCGGCCCCAGGGGCAACGGGGCTGCTTCAGGCTGGTCCTTCAGGGCTGGTTCCTCCCTGCTGGGAGAGGAGAAAGCTCCTGAAGCTGCCGTGCCAAAGCTGGGGATGCTCCAGTGCAAAGGGAAATTGATGCATCCTGGCACTTTTCCATCACTGAGGGCAGGCTGTGCATGGAGGCCCTCAGGGCTCCTGCTGCAGTACGGGTGACCAGGACAGAAGGCCAATTTGGGGGTTTAAATGTGATTTCATCGAAGCCCAGAATGGTCTGGGTTGGAAGGGACCTTAAAACTAATCCAGTCCCACTCTGTGCCAGGACAGGGACACCTTCCAACATCCCAGGGTGCTCCAAGCCCTGTCCAACCTGGCCTTGGACACTTCCATGGATCCAGGGGCAGCCACCACCTGGATATAATTTCATAATGATTTATTGGGGGTGAGATCAAACTCTGGTGCAAGGAGCTTCCCTCTCTGTGGAGATGACAGTTCACAAGCCCTGCCTGAATCTGCACGTGCTGAACACACTCTGTTATCCCATCCCCAGCTGGTGTTTTCTTTGATCTTAGTTGCTCATTACTTTCCTTAGTGAAAAGCCTCAAGATCTTGTGGAAATTGTCATTTTCCCATTAAACCCCCCTTAATTTCCAACAAATCTCTGTAATTTGCTGAAAAGCTTTCTCAGCTGAGAAACTCAGACCAGCACATGAGTAATCCTGGCACAAGACTTCCCAAATCTATGTGTGGACTAGAAATTGGAGTTTATTTCCTTACCTTCTTGTCTCTGTGTGTCCCCCAGGGTGGCTGCTCTGGGCCTGGCATCGGGCATCCTGCTGGTGCTGCTGCTGTTCTGCCTCTACCGGGTGCTGTGCCCCAAGAACTACGGGCAGAACGGGCCGGGCCGGCGCCGCCGCGGGGACCTGCCCTGTGATGACTACGGCTACTCACCCCCTGAGACAGAGATCGTGCCCCTGGTCCTCAGGGGACACCTCATGGTACGTCCAGCTCAGCAATCAACACCTCAGGAAAGGTTATTGGGGCATGAAATTCCTGCAGCACGCTCTCGTCTCCTCCTGGGGCTGGCTGGCTGCAGTTCCCACCATCACCGCCTCTGGCTTCTGTTCCCTGCTTTGCTGGGACAGCTCCACGTTGCTGAGTTCCAGGGGACAGCTGGATGGGGCACTCAGTGCTCTGGATGTGGCACTTGGGGCTCTGGATGTAGCACTGGGTGCTCTGGGCTGGGTGACAAGGGGAGGGTCAGTCACAGGTGTGACTCAGTGCTCCGGGAGGGATTTTCCAACCAGGATGAGTCTGGGATTCTTCCTCTTCTGAGATGAAACAAAGCTCTTGGGCATTCAGACAGACGAGTTTGCAGTGCTGGGCTGTGTCTCCCAGCAAAGCTCTATCTCTGCTCCTGATCCTGCCTTCAAACTGGGATGGATTTTTTAAGGGAAGGCAAGACAGATGGAGTCTGTTGGGTTTGCAGCAGTGCAGTGCACACTGAAGTTTCTGGGCAGAGATCCTGGAATCCCAGAATGGTTTGGGTTGAAAGCGACCTTGAAACTCCTCCAGTGCCACCCCTGCCATGGCAGGGACACCTTCCACAGGCCCCATCCTACCTGGTATTGGACCCTTCCAGGGACATCCATGTCCTCACTATCCCTCAGTTCCTAAACCAGCCAGTTTTGACACGAAGTCCATCATCTGCAGTTCTGCAGGCACACCAGGCTGTGCTCAGGACCCAGAGGCCTCGGTGGTGCCCCACTGAGCTGTGCTTGTCCTTCCCCTCGCAGGACATCGAGTGCCTGGCCAGTGACGGGATGCTGCTGGTGAGCTGCTGCCTGGTGGGGCAGATCCGCGTGTGGGACGCGCAGACGGGCGACTGCCTCACCGTCATCCCCAAGCCCAGGTGCGGCCCTGGCCATGTCCCCGTGTCCCCACGGTGCTCCCAGGAGGCAGCCCGCAGCGAGGGGCTCAGCCTTGTCCCTCCTCGCAGGCTGCGCAGGGACAGCAGCGGCATCTTCGACTACCAGGAGGGCTGGGATCCCAGCCCGGACGGCAAGAACGGCCTGGAGGACTCCTTTGAGAGCAGCCACCAGCTGAAACGGCTGCTGGGGCCCCCCCAGCCCCCCCTGTTCTGTGACCAGCCCGACCTCACCTCCCTGATCGACACCAACTTCCTGGAGCACGCCAAGGCCGAGCCGGAGCCGCGGCTGCGGGCAGTGGGCGCTCGCCGCAAGGACTCAGGCTACGACTTCAGCAGCCTGGTGGGGAAGGTGTACGAGGAGCACGGCGGCTCCGGCTGCAGGAACGGGACCTTCCCGGGGCTCCCGGCCCCGCTCGGCCCCGCCGGGCTCTGCGGGAGCGGCGGTCGTGCCCCGGCCTGCACAGGGGACGAGGGCGGCTGCGGCGGGGACGAGACCTGCACCGGGTGTGACAAATCCTCACCCCCTCCGTCCTGGGGAGGGGACCTGGAGAGCTCCATCTGGAGCCTGGAACTGCAGGGGAACCTCATCGTGGCTGGCAGGAGCAATGGGAAGCTGGAGGTGAGGAACGGGGACACAGTAATGGGAGGTGGAGATGAGCAGGGACACCGAGGGGAAGGTGGAGATGAGGAACAGGGACACAGTAACAGGGACGTGGAGTGAGGAACAGGCACACAGGAGCAGAGAGGTGGAGATGAGGAGCAGGGACACAGTAACAGGAGGGTGGAGATGAGGAACAGGGACACAGTAACAGGGAGATGGAGATGAGGAGCAGGGACACAGTAACAGGGAGATGGAGATGAAGGGGTACACAGTAACAGAGGCGTAGATGAGTGGGGCACAGTAATGGGAGGGTGGAAATGAGGAGCAGGGACACAGTAACAGGGAGATGGAGATGAGGAGCAGGGACACAGTAACAGGGAGATGGAGATGAGGAGCAGGGACACAGTAACAGGGAGATGGAGATGGGGAGCAGGGACACAGTAACAGGCAGGTGGAGATGAGTGGGGACACAGTAACAGGAAGGATGGAGATGGGGAGCAGGGGTGCAGTAATGGGAGGGTGGAAATGAGGAGCAGGGACACAGTAACAGGGACATGGAGTGAGGAATAGGGACACAGGAGCAGAGAGGTGGAGATGGGGAGCAGGGACACAGTAACAGGCAGGTGGAGATGAGTGGGGACACAGTAACAGGAAGGATGGAGATGAGGAGCAGGGATGCAGTAATGAGGAGCAGGGATGCAGCAATGGGAGGTGGAGATGAGGAGCAGGGATGCAATAAAGAGGAGCAGGGATGCAGTAACAGGAGGGTGGAGATAAGAAGCAGGGACACAGTAATGGAGGCAGGAGGTGACACAGCCTGGCAGCACAGCACAGGGAGCTGTGACTGCTCACCCAGCTCAGGGGCCGGGGCAGAGCACACAGAGCTGTTCAGGATCCCAGATCCCCTGTGTCCAGTGCTCCTGTGACCAGTGTCACCACAGTGACCCCTCCTCCCCCAGGTGTGGGATGCCATCGAGGGGACCCTCCGCAGCAGCAACGATGAAGGACAATCCGGCATCACCGCCCTCGTCTTCCTCAACAACAGGTGACTCCTTGTGCAGGTGCTGGGAGATCCCCAGCCCCAACCTCCACGGCAGCTCCCAGCAGCAGAGGCTGGGCTGGGATGTCTCTTCCCTGGAATCAGTGTCATGGAATAATATCCTGAGCTGGAAGGGGCCCTCAGGGATCATGGAGTCCAACCCCTGGCCCTGCCCAAGACACCCCAACAACCCCACCCTGTGCCTGAGAGCTTTGTCCAAGCACTCCTGAGCTCTGGCAGGGTTGGAGCTGTCACCATTCCCAGGGGAGCCTATTCAGTGCCCAACCACCTTTTCTTGCTATCCAACCTCACACCCAGCCCAATCCTCTGAGAATCCACCTTCACCAGCTTTCCTGGCTCCAGGAATGCTCCAGCAGCCACTTCTTCAGCCCTCAGTGTTGTCAGTAGCTGAATGTTCAGGGCTGGGACACCTTTGGGTCACTGCTGTTCAGAGGCACTGCCATTGTCCAGTCCATTCAGAGCTGTGTCCAGTGTCCCAGCCCAGCTCTGTGCAGCCTCCTCGCGGGGGTGGGTGGGCTGTGCTTGGCCCAGGGGTGTCCAGGTTTGGGCTCAGGGAAGGGCCTCTCTCAGCCCCCACATCTGTCCCTCAGGATCGTGGCTGCCCGGCTGAATGGCTCCTTGGATTTCTTCTCTCTGGAGACACACACATCCTTGAACCACCTGCAGTTCCGAGGTGAGCAGTGTTGGAATGTGACTGCAATGCCCTGGGCTCCTGCCTTCCCCTCCCTGCAGCTGAGTCTTCTCACAGCCCCTTCAGCTTTGGTGGTAACTGCTCCAAAAGCACCCAGAGCTGTGCTGAGCTGAGGGAGCTCCCTGTGCTGGACACCATCCCCATGCTGCCCTTTGCTCCTTCGCTTCTGTCTCCTTTCTCTCTCTGTTCCCAATCCCAGGAACAGCCTGAGCCCTCGACACAACCACAGCACAGCCCAGAGGGGCCCATGGGGTGGCTGGTTAGAGCAGGGGGTTCCTTTGCTTCTGGAGCAGAATAGAGGGGATGATTCAGATGGGATACTGGGGGGAAATTCTCCCCTGGAGAGTGGCGAGGCACTGGAATGAATTTCCTGGAGAAGCTGTGGTTGCTCCATCCCTGGAAGTATCCAAGGCCAGGCTGGATGGGGCTATCCCAGGAGCAAAGTGGGACAGTGGAAGGTGTCCCTGCCCTGGCAGGGGTGTGGGACTGGATGGGCTTTAAGGGCTCTTCCATCCCAAACCAGTCTGGAATTGTGTGACCCTGCTGAGGCCCTCACTCAGCTGTTCTTAGCCCAGAGGGTTCACTGCAGTTCCAGCCCCAATTCCCCAAAGCCCAGCACCCCGACCCCCCTCCCTCTGTGCCAGGCCGAGGTGCCCGTGCCCGGCTGAGGCCCCGTGTTGCCCGCAGGTGGCCCGGGCAGGAGCAGCCTGCCGCCCTCACCGGAGCTGAGCCGCGGGGCCGCGGGGCTGCGCTGCCGCCTCACACACAGCGTGGCGTGCGCGCACCACAAACCCATCACCGCCCTGCGCGCCGCCGCCGGCCGCCTCGTCACCGGCAGCCAGGACCACACCCTGAGGGTGAGCGGGACACGGGGACAGGGAGGGGGAGCTGGGACCACACCCTGAGGGTGAGCCGGACACGGGGACAGGGATGGGGAGCTGGGAGCACACCCTGAGGGTGAGCGGGACACGGGGACAGGGAGGGACAGCTGGGAACACACCCTGAGGCGAGCGGGACACGGGGACAGGGATGGGGAGCCGGGAGCACACCCTGAGGGTGAGCGGGACACAGGGACAGGGATGGGGAGCTGGGAGCACACCCTGAGGGTGAGCGGGACAGGAATGGACGGGCAGGGACAGTGGGGCAGGGATGGGGAGCCGGGAGCACACCCTGAGGGTGAGCGGGACACAGGGACAGGGAGGGGCAGCTGGGAGCACACCCTGAGGGTGAGTGGGACACGGGGACAGGGAGGGGGAGCTGGGAGCACACCCTGAGGGTGAGTGGGACACAGGGACAGGGATGGGGAGCTGGGAGCACACCCTGAGGGTGAGTGGGACACAGGGACAGGGATGGGGAGCTGGGAGCACACCCTGAGGGTGAGTGGGACACAGGGACAGGGAGGGGCAGCTGGGAGCACACCCTGAGGGGAACGGGACACAGGGACAGGCAGCTGGGAGCACACCCTGAGGGTGAGTGGGACATGGGGACAGGGAAGGGGAGCTGGGAGCACACCCTGAGGGTGAGTGGGACACGGGGACGCTGGGGCCAGGAGGGGGAGCTGGGAGCTCCATGGGGTCTGTTCACCGAGCAGTCCAAGGACAGAGCCCAGATTGTCACCCTAAGCTGAGTATGGGACCCTCCTGCCGGGGGAATGGGTGACTTCAAAGAATTATGGAATCACTGAGGTTGGGAAAGCTCTTCAAGACTGTCAAGTCCCCAGAACTGCCAAGGCCACCACAAAACCGTGTCATCAAGTGCCACATCCACACAGCTTTAAAATCCCTTCAGGGATGGGGAATCCACCACTGCCCTGGCAGCCCCTTCCAATGCCTGACCACCCTTTCCCACAAAGGAGTTTTCCCAATATCCAACCTAAACCTCCCTCTGCTCCCGTCCCTATTTTCTTGGAGCAGAGCCCGACCCCCCCGCTGTGCCCTCCTGGCAGGAGCTGTGCAGAGCCACAAGGGCCCCCCTGAGCCCCCTTTTATCCAGGCTGAGCCCCTGCCCAGCTCCCTCAGCCCCTCCTGGGGCTTCAGCCCCTTCCCAGCTCCATTCCCTTCCCTGGACACGCTCCAGCCCCTCCAGGTCTTCCTGTTGGGTGGGGACCCAAAGCAGCCCCCAGGATTTGAGGCCCCTCAGCAGGGCCAGCACAGGGGGACAATCCCTGCCCTGATCTTTCAGCCACTATTTTGACACAAAATCCAGGAGCCGTTGGCCTCTTGCCCACCTGGGCACAGCTGGTCACATCCACCAGCACCCCAGGGTCTTTCCAGCTCCTGTGTCTCCAGCCTGGAGCATTCCATGAGATTGCTGTGACATTCCCTGAGTGGCAGACCCGGGTTCTGGGGTGTCCCCTCTCCCCTTCCCCTTCAGCTGTGCAGTCACTGCCCACCAGCCATGACCTGCCCTGCACCCCATGGCAGCGCAGGTGGGCTCTGGCTGTGCCACAGTGGGACCAGGTGGGACCTGTTGTGCCATGGGGAGCTCAGGTGGCCCCACCCTGAGCCCAGCTGGCCCCAGAGCCTCACTCAGGCCTCTCCTGCCCCAGGTGTTCCGGCTGGAGGACTCGTGCTGCCTGTTCACCCTGCAGGGCCACTCGGGAGCCATCACAGCCGTGTACATCGACCAGGTACGGGCAGCTGCTGGGCCTGAGCCCTCCCCTGCCCTCACACCTGAGCTGATACCTGAGATCACACCTCAGCCCATCCCTGCTCCCATCCCTGAGCCAGTGGCTCAGCCGGAGGCACCCACTGGCTCCCTCCATCTCTCTGTGGCCAAGCCAGTTTTCCCCCAGTTCACTGTGAGCTCAGCAGTCTTTCCCTGGAGATCTCTTGCTTCTCTGTCCTGGAGCAGGGAATCTCTGTCCCTGCACTGCCAGGTGAAGCTGAGCAGGCCTGAAATGGGGCCTGAGGCCCCAGGGGGGCTCTGTCCCCAGTCCCCAGGAGGAGTGGGGGTCCCCAGCGTGCTCCCTACAGCAGCGTGTGCCCCCAGGTGCTCTCCCACCCCACAGAGGTGACCTCAGGTGCCTCTGCACTGGGGCTCCTGGGGTTCCTGGGCTCTGTTCCCTCAGCCTGCTCAGGCACAGGAACAGGGATGGAAGCGCTGGGCTGGCAGCGCAGGGTGCAGCCCCGCTCACTCCCCTCCTGCCGCGGGAGCATTGGGAGCACTGGTGGCACCGTGTGTACCCCGGCACTGAGGTGGCCCTGCTGTCCTGCAGACCATGGTGCTGGCCAGCGGTGGCCAGGACGGGGCCATCTGCCTGTGGGACGTGCTGACGGGCAGCCGTGTCAGCCACATGTTCGCGCACCGCGGGGACGTCACCTCGCTGACCTGCACCACCTCCTGCGTCATCAGCAGCGGCCTGGACGACGTCATCAGCATCTGGGACCGCAGCTCGGGCGTCAAGCTCTACTCCATCCAGCAGGTGGGACCTGGGGAGGGTTAACCGGGAATTGCTCGGGTGGGAAAACCCTCGGAGAGCACGGAGTCCGACCACCCCCCTGCGCTGCCAAGGCCAGCACTGATTGTGTCCCCAGGTGCCACATCCAGAAAAGGGGACTGCTCTGCTACCCTGGGCAGCTCCTTCCAAAGCCTCATCACCCTTTCCATGGGGCAATTCCTGCTGATGTCCACCCTGAGCTGCCCTGGCCGAGCCTGAGGCCGTTCCCTCTGCTCCTGTCCCTGTGCCCTGGAGCAGAGCCCGACCCCCTCGGCTGTGCCCTCCTGGCAGGAGCTGTGCAGAGCCACAAGGGCCCCCTGAGCCTCCTCTGCTCCAGGCTGAGCCCCTGCCCAGCTCCACCTCACACCCTCAGGGGTCCTCCTGGCTTTTCCAGGCCACCTCCAGACCCTGCAGACACCTCTGCTGTGCTTGGAGGCTGCAGAGCCTCTGTTCCAGCTGGGCACGCTTGGAACAGCCTCCCTGTCCCACACAAGGGCTCTGGCCAGGCCAGGTGTGGCTCTATCCCGCTGCAGCCCCGGAGCTCAGCTCTCTGCCCCCAGAGCTCAGCTCTCACCTCCAGCCCCGGAGCTCAGCTCTCACCTCCGTCCCACTCCAGCCCTCAGAGCTCAGCTCTCACCTCCAGCCCCGGAGCTCAGCTCTCACCTCCGTCCCGCTCCAGCCCCGGAGCTCAGCTCTCTGCCCCCAGAGCTCAGCTCTCACCTCCGTCCTGCTCCAGCCCTCGGAGCTCAGCTCTCACCTCTGTCCCGCTCCAAACCCGGAGCTCAGCTCTCACCTCTGTCCCGCTCCAAACCCGGAGCTCAGCTCTCACCTCTGTCCTGCTCCAACCCCGGAGCTCAGCTCTCCGTCCCCGGAGCTCAGCTCTCACCTCCGTCCCGCAGGAGCTGGGCTGTGGCGCCAGCCTGGGCGTCATCTCCGACAACCTGCTGGTGACGGGAGGCCAGGGCTGCGTGTCCTTCTGGGACATCGGCTACGGGGACCTGCTCCAGACCGTCTACCTGGGCAAGAGCAACGAGTCGCAGCCGGCGCGGCAGATCCTGGTGCTGGAGAACGCCGCCATCGTCTGCAACTTCGGCAGCGAGCTCAGCCTGGTCTACGTGCCCTCGGTGCTGGAGAAGTTGGACTGAGCAGGAGGAGGGGACTGAGGCGGGGCTGGGGGCTGTGCCGGAAAGGGGACGGGGCCGCGGGCTCCGTGCCTCCATCCGCGCCACCGGAGCGGCTCCGGTCACCGAGCGGGGTGGGGCCGCCGCCCTCCCCTCTGCTCCCCCCGGTCCGGAATCTTCCAAGCGGCCTCGGGGACCCCCCGGCAGCGCGATGGTGCGGAGGGACACGGGGCGGGACAGGGCAGAGCGGGGACAGCGTGGCGGCTCCCAGGCCGGACACCCAGCGGTGGCTGTCCCGGCCCGGGACACGGAGCAGCCCTCGGCCAGCCCCGGCCCCGGGTGGCAGCCGGGAGAGGGCCGGGACCGGGACTGGGCTCGGCCCCCACGTGCCTTAGGGCGCGGCAGGGCCCGCCCGCTCCCGCCCGGGGCCGCAGCTGCCCCCACTCTATTTATTTATACGCTGTAAATAGTTATTTATTGGGGCGGGGGGCGCGGGGGCCCAGCCCCGGCAGCGCTGCCCTTGCCGTGCCCTGGCACAGCTGCCCTGCCCGGCTCCCTCCTGCGCCCTGTCTGCAGCAATAGCACCTTCCTCCCCTTCCTCCTCCTCCTCCCGCTGCGGGGCCAGAGGAGGCTTTTCTCAGGTTGGGAGCGGGCGCAGCTCTCGCCCCCGCCCTGCAGGCGCCGGGAGGGACCCGAGCGGGGCACAGCGGGACCAACGTGCAGAGCCAGGGCCGGGACAGCCCCCGGGGCTCCCCCGAGCACGGGCCGGGCCCCGCTGCAGCCCCGGGGCTCCCGGCCCGTCCCGCCCTGCCCCGAAGCGCCCATGACGCCTGTTCTCGACCCCCGGTGATTGTAGAGGCGGCGCCGGCCTGGGGCGGGGGGGACCCCCGGGACCCCGGCCCAGCCCCCGCGGGTGGCCTTCGCCCAGCTGTACCTTTGTGCTGTACAGGGGACGCTTTTTGTACCGACCGTGTTTTATAACGTGTGCAGAACATCCATTAAACGGAACTAACCCGAGCCTGGCCCAGCCCTGACCCACCCCCCGCCCCGCTCCGGCAGCACCAGGGCCCGGCCCTGCAGATAAACTCGCTTTATTTTAGTAGCAAAGAGCTGAAAAAGTCAGTTCTACCTGGAGTCAAACAAAGTGGGGCTGGGGGCCGGGGGCCCCCGCCCCCCTCACGCCTTGTTGAGGGTCCAGAGGGGGTCGAGCATGCTGAGGGGGTCGTCGCTGGGCCGGGGCGCCCGGAGCCCCTCGCCCGGCTGTGCCTGCAGGAAGTTCTGCTTGTTCATGCGCTGCTTGCCCTTGAGGGACGCGTCCAGGCTGAAGGCCTCGGGCGTCAGCGAGGCCAAGAGCTCCAGGGAGGAGGAGGAGGAGGCCGGGGGGGCAGCGGGGGGCTCTGGCGGCCCCTCGGGGCTCTCCCCCCCGACGTGGTTGCTGCTCTCAGCGTCACCCGATGCCTCGGGGAGGGGCGGCCGAGGGGCGGGGGGCTCGGGCTCGGGGGCACCAACGCCATCCACGAGGCCGTCAGGGATGGCCAGCGGCACCTCGGGCTCCACGGGGTCCGGAGCGGGGCCGGGATCCGCCCCCCAGCCCTCCCCGGGCTCGGCGCTGGGCCCGCCCGGTTTGATGCTGAGCTTGGCGATGGTGGCCTGGATGGAGCTGATGGGCACGTCCCCCCCCAGCACCAGGTCCTGCGGATCCTGCTGGAAGTACAGCTGGGGGAGAGCGGCCCCGTGAGCCCCGGCAGCGGCAGAGCTCCCCAGAGCCGCCCGGCACGGCCCCGCACCCACCTTGGGGGAGGTGCTGCTGGGGGGCTTGGCCAGGCTGGGGCCGCCCACGCCGTGGCGCAGCAGCACCTGCTCGGCGTGCAGCAGCACGGCCTCGAAGCAGAACTTGAGGTGCAGCTGCAGGGGAGAGGAGAGGGGACACGGTGAGGCCCGGGGGTGCAGCCCCGCGCCCCCGGGGCCGCAGCCCCCCGCAGTACCTTCTCCTGCAGCATGTGCTTGCGCTGCTGCCGCATCCGCCGCACCAGCTGCGCCAGGTCCGGGATGCCGTTCCCGGCCTCCACCTCCTGCACGGCGGCGTACAGCAGGCAAAAGGCGCCGGTGCGGCCCACGCCGGAGCTGCGGAGACACCCCCGAGCCATGACAGGCACCCCTGAGCCCTGACAGACACCCCCCCCGAGCCGTGACAGACACCCCGAGCCCTGACAGACACCCCTGAGCCGTGACAGACACCCTGAGCCCTGACAGACACCCCGGAGCCCTGACAGACACCCCCGAGCCATGACAGGCACCCCTGAGCCCTGACAGACACCCCCCCCGCCCCGAGCCGTGACAGACACCCCCCCCGAGCCGTGACAGACCGCCCCCCCGAGCCGTGACAGACACCCCGAGCCCTGACAGACACCCCTGAGCCGTGACAGACCGCCCCCCCGAGCCGTGACAGACACCCTGAGCCGTGACAGACCGCCCCCCCGAGCCGTGACAGACACCCCGAGCCGTGACAGACACCCCGAGCCGTGACAGACACCCCGAGCCGTGACAGGCCCGGGACAGGAGGGGGAGCCCCTCTCTGTCTCCCTGCCCCGGCCCGGCTCACCTGCAGTGCACCACCACCGGGGTGTGCAGCGGCCGCTGGTGCAGGTAATGGCCGTGCACCTCCTGGATGAAGCGCAGGAGGCTCCCCTTGCTGTCGGGCAGGCCCCTGGCGTGGGGAACACACACTCGTTGGGGGGGCCCTGGACTCAGCCCCCCCGACGGGTCAGGGCTGCCCAAACACCCTCACCAACCCCGGAGCCGCCCCCACAGAAGATCAGGGCTCCCAGGGCCTTCCGAGCCTCCCTTTGTCCCCCCACGTACAGCTCAGGCCAGGAGGTGAACTGGAGGTGGGCCACGGTGCGTTTGAGGCTCTGGTCCCGGTACTGCAGCGTCAGCATCCGCTCCACGTGTGTGGGGGTCACCCGCAGGCTGGTGAGCACCACGCTCAGAGGGCCGTGGGCCACGGGCTGGCCCCGCTCCGACGGGAAGTACCGGAGCACCTTCTGCCGGGGGAGGGGCCGTCAGCACGGCCCGGGGAGCCTCGGGCCCCGCAGGGCACCGGGCAGGCTGTGCCATCCCCGGGACCCCGCACCCGGGACAGAACGCACCTTGTCCAGCTCCTGCTCGGACACGAGCATGACGACCACGGACACCTTCTGCTCGTAGATCATGAGCCAGAAGTCGGCGGCGGTGCCGAGCAGCGGGGCCTGGGTGGCGATGAGGGCGGGGCAGTACGGGGACAGGTCCTCCACGCGGCTGGCGTTGATGTAGTCGTCCTTGCCCGAGCGCAGCACGACGCGGTTGCGGTCGTAGGGCATGATGTCCTGGTGCCGGTTCTTCATGGAGTAGCAGCGGGCGATGGCGATGGAGCGCTGCCGGGCGTCGCGCTCCTGCGCCTCCTGCAGCTCCTTCCAGAGCGCGTCCAGCTCGGAGCCGCCGCCGGGCGCGGGCCGCTCCAGCCGCTCGGCCAGGCCGCGGAACCGCTCCAGCTCCGCCAGCAGCCGCCGGACGCGCTCGGGCTCCGCGTACGGGTCGGCCTCGATGAGCTGCACGGCCCGGGGCCGCTGCCCCTCCTGCGCCCCCGCCTTGGTGGGCTGCAGCAGCCCCCCGGGCGCGGCCGAGCCGCCGGGCTGGCTCTCGGGGCTGGACGACAGCAGGTCGGCGGGGCAGGGGCTCTGCCGCGGGAACGGCGGCTCCGCGGGGCCCGGCGGGGGCAGCGCCGGAGGCGGCCGCGGTGCCGGGGGCTGCATGGGCAGGGCTGGGGACGGGGACGGCGCCGGGGACGGGACCAGCGGGCCCGGGACCACCACGGAGCCCGGCAGCGGCCCGGGAGAAGGGGCCTGGCTGGGCGGGGCGGGCGCGGGCGGGCCCAGGGCCATGGTGCCGGGGGGCAGCTGGGCGCCGGCGGGGGCCGGGCTGGGGCAGAAGGGCAGGGCGGGGGAGGCGGGCGGCACCGGCTGGAGCCCCCCCAGGGCCGGGGGGCCGCTCGGGGCGGGGGTCCTGGGGAAGGGCACGGCCCCCGGGTGCGGGGCCAGGCCCGCGGGGGGCAGCTGCTCCTGCCCGGGGAGCTGGTAGAGCTGCGGGGGCAGCGGGGGCTGCGCCGGGGCAGGCGGGGGCAGCTGCGCCCCCGGAGCGGCGAAGCGCTGCTGCTGCTGCTGCTGGGGGAACTGGGCCGGGGTCGCCAGGGGCACGCGGGGGGGCTGCTGGAAGGGCAGAGGGGCCTGGGCTCGGCCCGGGGGCAGGAAGGGACCCGGCGGGAACTGCTGGGGGCCCTGGGCGAAGGCGGGCGGGGGCTGTGCCGGGGGGAAGGGGGCCGGGGCCGGCGCCCCGAAGGGCTGCACCCCTCCCGCCGTGTAGGGGAAGGGGGCCGGGGCCCCCCCCGGGCGCTGGGGGGGCAGGAAGGGGCCGCGGGGGGGCACGGAGCAGCTGGAGATGGGCGCCTGGACGCTGTCCACAGTGGTGGTGGCCGGGCGGGCGCCCGGGGGCTCGTGGCCCCCCAGCCCCGGCTGGGCACCCGCGGGCGCTGCCCCGGGCACGGGCGGGCGGAGCGGGGCGGGGGCCGGGCCGGGCCGGCCCAGGCCGTAGGCGGGCAGGGTCCCATGCTGGGGGGACGAGCGCGGGGGCGGCACGTGGGGCCCCCCCGCGAAGGGCGGCTGAGCCGGGGCGCGGATCAGCGGCGCGGCCGGGAAGAGCTGAGGGGCGGCGGGGCCGGGGGCGGGCCCGGCCGGGGCCGAGGGCTGCAGGAGCTGCCCCGGGACCCCCCCGGGGGCGGGGAAGGGCCCGGGCAGGCGGTAGTGCCCCGGGAAGGACGGCGTGGCGGCCAGGGGCGGCAGCGGGGCGCTGGCCACCCCCCCCGGCAGCAGGTAGGGCTCGGCGGGCCGCAGCCCCCCGGCCAGGGCGGCCAGCGCTGGGGGCGGCAGCTGGGCCAGGGGCCCGGGCAACAGCTCCGGGGGGAGGCTCCGCAGCTCCTCCGGCAGCTCCGACAGCACC